ATGCTTCCCAGTAGTTTAATTACTCCGCAGTGGCATGAATCAGATTACAATAGAATACCGTTCTCAAGGCAAACTTAAGTAGAAAGAGGGAAGTGCTCATGCCATTATACAGACCTCACTTGGAGTATTGTACACAGTATTGGAGACCGTATCTTCAGAAGGATATTGATACCTTAGAGAGGGTTCAGAGAAGGGCTACTAAACTGGTTCATGGATTGCGGGATAAAACTTACCAGGAAAGGTTAAAGGATCTTAACATGTATAGCTTGGAGGAAAGACGAGACAGGGGGGATATGATAGAGACATTTAAATATATAAAGGGAATCAACACAGTAAAGGAGGAGACTATATTTAAAAGAAGAAAAACTACCACAACAAGAGGACATAGTCTTAAATTAGAGGGACAAAGGTTTAAAAATAATATCAGGAAGTATTACTTTACTGAGAGGGTAGTGGATGCATGGAATAGCCTTCCAGCTGAAGTGGTAGAGGTTAACACAGTAAAGGAGTTTAAGCATGCGTGGGATAGGCATAAGGCTATCCTAACTATAAGATAAGGCTAGGGACTAATGAAAGTATTTAGAAAATTGGGCAGACTAGATGGGCCGAATGGTTCTTATCTGCCGTCACATTCTATGTTTCTATGTTTCTATGTTAAAATGGAAGGATTACATTTTTTATCAGAAACAACAGAAACCCTTCTAGTTAAAGGGAAACTCTTCTATGTTATACAAATATGGAATTCTAACAGTTTCCTCTGGCATGATTAGATTTAGGGTCCCCCCATTAAGCTTAGAATAAGATTTTGCTGATCTTAGACAATACAATGCTTTTCTATACAGAAGCATCCCTATGGGGAGCGTCTGGCGTGTTCAAGCTGAGAGTGAACATGCCGAACGTCCGTCCTGCAAAGATAGCAGGTCTGTTCTAGGAAACAGCTCTATCTGCAATCTGAGTGACAGTTACTATATGTGTCCTTTAACGACTAATGTAATGTAAGGACAAAAATGTGTTTACAAAACAGCAGGGAGATGCTCTTGAAATCAAAACCACCACATTAAAAGGCAATGGGTCTGGTGCTTAGAGTACCCCATTTACGTTTTCTATAAAGTAATTCATAGGAATGATAACACCATGAATTACATGCCTGCAATGTTCAGACTAGTTCTGTGTGATGTCTAGATTGTTCTAAGCAGTAAAAGTAATATTAAAATAAAACACATTTAAAGACCTGCCAGTATAGGTAGACTAGAGGGGACAGAAAAGTGAATAATATAAGCTGCAGGTTCAACCTGGCCCTCCCAAAAGTGAGTGAGCTGGGCTGGGTTCCAACATCACCCTACTGGTCAGTGGATTCTGATTGGGTACAGGCACAGCAAAGCCCTTACCTACAGATGGGAGACTGATCAGGCTATTTGTGAATGGGAGATACAAAGTGCAGAGAGGATGATCAGGCTCAAAGCTGTGAATGGAAAAGCTGGCTGAACATGATAGATATCCAGAAGCAGGGCTGCCATCAGAAATTGCAAGGTCTGGGCCCCCGTGTGCCTGCACCCGAGTCCGCCCAAAGTGCTGCCCCTCCCCCCCACCCCGAGGCCGCCCACAGGGATGCAGTGTCTGCAGGGCCGGTGCAGGGATTTTTGCCGCCCTAGGCATTGTGTGTGTGTGTGTGGGATGGATGTCAATCTCTCCCCCTCCCCCCGTCAATTTCCTTCTCCCCCCCCTCCAATTTCCTTCTTCTCCCCCTCCCTCCCTCCCTCCAATTTCCTTCTTCTCCCCTCCCTCTCAATTTCCTTCTTCTCCCTCTCCCACCTCCCTTCCCTTCTCCAACCTCCTTCCTCTCCCCCCCTCCAATTTCCTTCCTCCCCCTCCCCTCATATTTCCTTCCTCTCCCTCCCCCCTCAAATTCCTCTCCCTCCCCTCCCTCAAATTTCCTTCCTCTCCCTCCCTCCCTCAAATTTCCTTCCTCTCCCTCCCCTCCCTCAAATTTCCTTCCTCTCCCCCCCCTCAAATCTTCCTTCCTCTCTCCAGAGGAGAGTGCTCCCTCGCGCGCCCGCCGGGTGTCAGCAGGGCCAGCCTCTGGGGGGCCCTGAGGTGACCGGCTGCTGGGCCCCCCAGGAGAAGAGGCTGGCCCAGTGGGTACATACCGGGTTGCAGGGCCCCCTGCGACCTGGTATGTACACCACTGAATGTGGGGCCTGGACGACCTGAGCAGTCCGGGCCCCCCCAGGACCTCTGGGCCCATGACAACCGTTACGGTTGTCATGCCCTGATGGCGGCCCTGTCCAGAAGTGCAGTAATTCAGTGCACATGGCAGCCCTCCCATGCACAGACAGCAAGGTAGTGCTTGCTGCAGGACATCAGAGGAAATCGAGGTATGAAATCTCCACCCTCAGGCATGTCATTTAGGGCATGTAAGATAGCTGTCCAAAAGAGACGCATGGGGACCATGGGCGTAGGAACCGGGGGGGATGGATCCACCCCAGTAAATAATGCGGGGGGGGGACAGGTATGGTGAAATCCCCCCCCCAGGTTAGGACTAGGAGGAGTGCACTAGGAGTGCTGATTACGCTGTAACATTTCGGTGCATTCGGCTTCCGAATGCACGCAGTGTAGCTGTAAGCTACACGAGCAGCGTAATTGGCACTCCGGGGTCTCCTTCTTGTTGCAATGTGGCACGGGCGGAATGTGCTGCAGACTGCAGAAGGAGGACGCACATGTCTCAGGCTGGACTGGATAGTGGCAGCCTGTCAGGGAGGAACCTTCTTCAAGCAAAGCTGCTGGCTGGTGTGTGCACTGCTGGGACCACAGAGACACAGCCTGGGTAAGTAGTGTTGATAATGCTGTTAATGTATAAATATTAGCAGGTTGTCTTATATTTAACTCTGTTTTATGTAGCATGGTAATTCCTGTTGCTTCTCAAGACTAGTAGCCCCTATTCTAACATTGCTGTCAGTCAGTGAGTGATGTCATTAAGTCACAAAATCCGTAAATATTAATGACATGAAATATAAAAAAAATATTATATTATATAGCATTTTTCTCCCCTGTGACTGTGAAACACAATGCAGTTTAGCCCATACTTTGTGGTTTTAACCAGAGTACTGGGTCATATTCATCCTGAATGACCGATGGAAAAATTATTTTAATTGAGCAATATGGGTTAATGTCCACACTTTTTTTTAAATCAAAAAACAGCCACTAAGCATAGTTAATACTAACAGTAAGTGATCGTCTATCCTTGTGTTCAGGTTCAGCATTGCTGTGTCCGCTGATTTTACTGCCGCGTACCGGTTGACTTTTACTAATGCTATGTGGGTTTATTTTTACTAATGCTATGTGGGTCTATTTTTACTAATGCTATGTGGGTTTATTTTTACTGATGCTATATGGGTTTATTTTTACTAATGCTATGTGGGTTGATTTTTACTAATGCTATATGTCGGTTTATTTTTACTGATGCTATATGGGTTTATTTTTACTAATGCTATGTGGGTTGATTTTTACTAATGCTATATGTCGGTTTATTTTTACTGCTGCTATAATGGTTAATTTTTACTGATGCTATCAGAGCATCAGTAAAAATCAACTAACATTTCAGCATAGCATTGCTTGATTGGTTGATTTTTACTAATGCTATGTGGGTTGATTTTTACTAATGCTATGATGGTTTATTTTTTACTACTGGATAGTGCTCTTCTGATTACCCTCTCTGGATTGCTTTAATAGTTTGATTTATTGGCTTGAGATACGGGAGGGGAAAGCTAGGCTTTCCTATTCAAGCAGCACTGGCAGCGCTACCTGCAAGGGAGAATGTCATTAAATCTGTCACCAGTGCGCTGTGTGCTAAGATGACAGATGTATTTTCTGCCAAGAATTGACATTAGGCAGCCCAGAACAGTTCCAGATTGTCTAAGTCACGTATGCCGGCTGCCGGTGGGGCAACTAGCAGTAATTCTGGAACACGCACTAGGTTAAAGATGCTATGTCAGGAAATGGGCCAGATATAATAAACAAATTATTGTAGAGAAATTAAAAAGTTCATGTTATTCTTAAATCTTTTGTTATCATTCAGTGTTATCATTCTTCTTTAAATTTTGTCTTTTCTAGAACCTTAGCTTTATGCTTAAGTCCGTTTGAGTGAAGAAAGTCAGAATGGATATCCGCAAGTTTTTTACAAATAAGCCGAGTAAAGCAAATACATCCTCATCAAGCTCAGAAGCATGTCAACAAAAAGAGATCACTGAATCACCAGTCAGACATCATTTTGTTGAGCCAGAAAAGGAATATGCTGAAACGGTGTCTTTAGAAGCAGTTGGCCTCATGTGTGACTCAAGTAGTGATGGTGAGGAAGACCATGCTTGTGGTCCTGCAATCAAAACTGTAGAAGATGTTCATAGTAAATCTAAAACATACAGAAAAGGAAAATGCATTTCTCTTCCAGCTGATGACGAGAAAACATTACGAATGGCAGTGGTACCACAATTCCAGCTCAGACCATTGTAACGCAAAAGGCAAAGAAGCATGTTCTACATTTTCAAGAGTGCTGGTTCCAAAGCTTTCCATGGCTGCACTATAGTTTTAGCCTTGAAGGGGTACTATGTTTCTACTGTGCTAAAGCAGTCGTCCTGAATCTGACTCAACTTGAAAAGAACACTGAGCCAGCATTTGTGTGTGTAGGCTTTAAAAACTGGAAATAAGCTACTGAAAAGTTTAAAAAACATCAGAGTTGTTCTGCTCATACATATTCTATGAAGCAACTATTGCATCATAAAGATTCACAACCCATTAATGCGCATCTTTCACTACAAATTCAATAGCAACAGAATGATGCATGGCTGTGTCTCATCAAGATAGTACAAACAATAGCCCTGTTGGCAAAACAAGGTCTCCCTCTTCGTGGCCATGAAGACAATGATGGCAATTTTAAACAGTTTCTGCTTGCACGAGCAGATAATGTGTCTTATCTAAAAAATTGGATTTCACACAAAGTAGAATACATGAGTCCCAACATTCAAAATGAGATTTTGAAGTTATTGTCTCACACCGTATTACGCCTTATTCAGAAACAGATTGGGAATAATGCCTTTGCAATTATTGTTGATGGCATACAAGATATATCTGGTCAAGAACAAGAAAGTTTCTGTATCCGCTATGTTGATGAAGACTTGTACCCACATGAGGACTTCATAGGCTTATATCAAGTTGATGAAACAAGTAGACCTGCAATCGCACAGATTGTCAAGGATGCTTTATGCCGTCATGGGCTTTGTATGTCAATGTTGCGAGGGAAAACATATGATGGAGCTTCAAATATGGCTGGTAAATATCATGGTGCCCAGGCATTAATCAAGCAGGAACATCCACTTGCCATTTATGTCCATTGCGGTGCACATTGCACACATTTAGTTATGCAGGCCGCAGCACATCAATGTCCAATAATGGAAGATGCACTTATATTTGTGCAAGATCTTGGCAAACTCTTTGGGCAATCTATGAAATGCAGAACCACATTTTCAGAAATTGTGCATCGTGAAACTGAAGGGCCTCTTAAAGTCTTGCATATTAAACCATTGTGCCCAACACGCTGGACTGATAGAGTGAAGCCTGTGAAAAAAATTCTGGATAATTACCAGCTGATTTTGGAAACACTTGAAGAAATTGCAATTACCAGAAGTAGTGGAGATAGAAAACCACGTGAACGTGGCCTACTACAAAAATATAGGCAAGTGAAAACTCTACTAGGTCTTCAAATCTCTCTTAGCATCATGGAGATCTTAGAATGCCTGAATGTAGCCTTGCAAGGCAGAGAACAAACCATATCAGAACTTTTAGCAAGTGTACAACGGACACATGATGCTATACAAAAGTTACGATGTGACACGTCCTTTGAAAGAGTTCTTGCTACCACTATTTAGTGGAAAAATACCAGCTAAAAGAGGTTACTGTACCAAGGCAACCTAATATTCCTAATACTATTGTCCTCGGTATTTCCAAATAATGGATATTATATCAACACCAAGAGGGTTTACTTGTATATGGCAAACTGGAACATTATCGGTTGACAGGACAAGCTAGTGAAGTTCTTTCCCAGTATCCAGAGATTGAATATCATCTTCTCTCTGCCCAGATAACCACCTTATCAAGTGTTTACAAGTACACTTCAGTCTCTGAGGTTGAAGATATTTTGCAAAAGATGCCTGCCAGAGAAAGATGCTTTTTCTCTCAAGTAGAAAAAATTGTCAGAATCCTATTAACTATTCCTGCTTCTTCCTGTGAAGCTGAGAGAAGTTTTAGTGCACTGCGTAGATTAAAAACCTGGTTGAGGTCCACAGTGACCCAGAAACGTTTGAACCATGTTGCTATATGCAACATCCATAGAGACATAATGGATGAACTAGACATCAAAGCCATAGCAAAGGAATTTGCAATGTGTTGTGATCGCCGCAAAAAAGTTTTTGGATTTTAAAGCTTGCGTTCTTTAGATTTGGATTAAGGAAACTTTATGGAGGGTACTTCTTGGTCCATAAAAAAACACTACTAAACCATTACAAATAAATATATTTATTAATAAAATAAACTCACCCTTTTCCATCACCAAGACAGTCTAATTGATGCAGCACAATAAGCATTGCCTTAGGCATTGAGTTAGTGTTCAAAGCATATGAAACAGGGAACCCTCCTAGATGTTTGATTGATAGCTGTAAGAGTGTACCGATGGACGTCTATGTATAAGACAAAGGGGACCTTCACTTTACTCCTAAGCCACTGTAGCAAAGTGAAGTGTGTTAGGGCACAGGAGTTTCTCAGTTAAGCCAGTTGCAAGTATTCTTCTTTTGCTTTTTATTTATATATGGAAGAGGTTGAGATTGTGTGATGCAAAGCATTACTGTAATTGTTAAAGATGAAAAACAGTTAAAGGGACACTTGAAGCACTATAACCATTAAAGCCTACATTAGTTCTTATGGTGCTAGGGAAATGTTCCTGTAAATATAATTTTAATTCCTCCACCTAAGCTTCCTGCTCACTGACATCATATGGGAAAGCCTGCATGCTCACGCCATTCACTTCAGCTTCCACTACTTGCAGGAGCTGGTCTGTCAGTGTAAACAGCACAGTTCCCTGTTCCGCTCAGAGTACCGTGTACTGAGCTGGATAGGGAACAGCATTGTGTGAATGTGTGCACACTTACCACACATCTCTTGTAGCTTTAGTGTGTGAGCTGGCAGTGGCAGGCACACATTTACAGGAACAGCTACCTTGCACCTTAACTGCTGAAGTACGCTGCAGTGGTTGTACGCTGCAGTTAGAATTTTTTTTCGATTTATATAGTTATAGTATTTAATTGTATTTATACAAGATCTTTTGTTTTGTTAAAATCAGGCAATAGTGCATTACTTAAATTATTATTACCACTAGTTGTAAGTGGAATAACTGAAATATATGCCAAACGTTTGGTTAATTTCTGTGACCTGATAAATAAAGAACTGTTCCTTTTGCATATTTTTTTGTTGTGAGATTTTTCACACACACACACACACTTAAAATGTAACGTTATGAACAACTCCCAGTTTACTGAATAAGAATATACCCGGCGATCAAAAATGTTGTACCCCCCCAGATTTTTGGGGGTTCCTACACCCATTAAGGGGACATCATCAACCTGTCAGACAGCCAAAAGTATTTTGTTTCCATATTTATTTTTTTTTTACATTAGTATATCAATGAGTCGCTGACAGCACAGCAAAATTGGATCAATTGGATCAATTTAAAGGAGTACCCTCCTTTCAATCACAGCTCTGAGAAAGGCTATAACTGCATCCATATTACAGCTCCCTGTGCAGTTAACTATGCACACAGAATGCAATCTTCTAGAATGCCTGTATCAATTTTGTCCAAGTTGTGTGAGTGGCATATGCACGTACCCCTTGGACTGATCTTTAAGTAAATATAGCCACTGCCGTGATAAAGCACGCTCAGTAGCTTTTATCACCACACACAGCCTAGCACACTAAACTCTTAATTGTGCTGTGCATAAACTAAATGCCACCATGTAATGGCTTTGACCAGTGGATCTGCGATTCCTGGATAAACTACTTATACCATAAACCCTTGCTGGATTTGTTTTAAAGGGACATTCCAAGCACCATAACCACTGCCACCCCCCACACTGGAGGTAACAGTACCGTTTTAGATCATTCTGACTTCTTACGTGGGATCCTATGGTCAACTCTCCAAGATAAAAGGTTCCCAGTTGCAACATAAAGAGGTGTGCATTTCAATGTTTCATTTTATTTTTTTCAGAGCGTACAAATACATATTTGTTAAATATAGGAATAATTAAACAATATTAAACACCTATTTATTTTTCGCTCTCTTTTTTTCCCCCTTGTTACTTTTATGTTCTGAAGAAAACATGCTTAGGAATGAAAGGTTACGTTAGTATTTGTGTATTTAGTACTAGTGAACAGAACCAGGTGCTGGTTCTGCAGATTTAAACTTTATATTAGGGGAAACCTTAGAAGACACATAACAGACATACAAGGTTATGAAAAAATGAGTCTATTTGGAAGTTAAATTTCAATGTTTAGGTCAATATAGGAGAATTGAAAACTATACAAGTCACAAATGCTTTTAGTTTGGATTTTGTGGTACGAAATTTCTTTTGAATTCACTCTGAATAAATAAATTAAATAAAGACATAAATCATTGACCAACCCCCAAAATAAATGGTTCTGCACGAATTAGGAGAAAATACAGTATCTATGATTTCCGATGACATTAAAGGGATACTCTAAGAACCATAGTGGTTATGTAGTGATAATGGTGCCAAGAATCCTTTGGCAAGGTCCCATAGAAAGTTGCCAAACCATTTACGGATGATTTGATACTCACCTGGCACTGCTGGGCAGTGGGCACCCACGGTCCTTCCAGTATGCACTGTTATGTTTAAGTAGCAGTTCATACTTCCACATTAGCAAGATCAATTCTGTGCTACTTTTAACAGCATTCGTTGGCTGACTTCTAGCACCACAACCACTACAAACCACTTTGATGGTTTTGGTGCTTAGAGTATCCCTTTAATAAGCAACATTTTGTTTTGCCTAGGATTTCAAACCTAAGCTATTCAAGGATCAACCACTTGGCTTCACGAAGCATATTCCCCTATTCCATTATTTTCCCACTGTTTTTTTTATCTTCCCCTTTTCTTTTTCTTTTTTCTTTTATTAATAAACTTAAATTAGTAACTCAATCTGTAAACTAAGTTTTATTGTAATGTCAATCTGAAAATAAAGTTTATTTAAAAAAACTTTAATCTTCATGGCCTAAAAACGTGCATGGTATAGATGCTATACTTTGTGGCAGTTGAAATCTTTAAGGCACCCAGTTTACATTGAGAGCACAAGAAGCAAGTCTTATTACTTCTGCTGCCCTTGGAAAAATGTGATTAAAGGACCACTATAGTGCCAGGAAAACAAACTAGTTTTCCTGGCTCTATAGGGTCTTTAGGTCCCCCCCACCCTTAGGGACCCACCGTGTTCCCTCCTCGAATTGCAGAATTTCTCTGTGTTCACATCTGTAAAATAGGGTTCCAGAGCTCCATTCATGTTCATTTGTAATATGGAGGAGAATAGAGGTCCATATATGGTTAATTATTGATTTATTGCATGGAACAAGTTCCTTGTATATTCTTTGCCTAGTTAGATTTCTAAATTTAAAACGAAGGTTCTTGCAATAATGCTAGACATCAAATTGATGGTTGATATTTTTGTATTTCTCTATCATTAATTTTCTAAAGTGCATATGCCTATCAGTAGACAGGATGGCAATGGTCAACCCTTTGGCCATAATCTGATCCATGCATTGGGTTAATGCTTTTAATTTCATTGAAACTGAAGAGGTTGTTTCACTCACCTGAATAGTGTTGCACTCAATTATTTTTTTCCATAAGTAAATAAGTGCAATATTGTGCCCTAGAACCTGAGCTATCACATTGCCCGTCTCCAGACAGACGCAAATCCTTACCTTTCAGACTGTCCAGAATAAATTCTCTTTTTTGTAGTATAAATCTATTGTCAGAAACAAAAACTTTTTTTGATACATGTAATGTAATGCTTTAGAAACAAAATGCACACCAATTATTTGAAAGAGTTCGCTCACTTTGGAAAAATGTGAACCGCTAAAGAAGATTGATGCACTTGCCAATATATTACTACATGACCGGTTGCCAATCATTGGCTGGCTTTTCCAGAACGGACATCGATGATTCACAAATGGTGTACACCTTCAGCTATGTTCCTGTGATTATTTTTTCTCTTTGGGTGATCAGTGCAGTGCAATTTGTCAAAAAAGTACAAGTTTGGGCAGCAAATAACAATTGATCCAAGCATGTTTCAAAAACAATACATTTCTTTTCTGACACAATCTTTAGGCGTGGGCTCAGTTAAATAAGACAGTTCTCCAATATCTGTTGATTCTTCTTCCACCATTAATTGTGGATCATTTGTGCCTGTATCAGTCACAGTAAACCTCATTTCTGATTCCCTGTGTATAGTTGGTATTTCTGAAAGAGGTGTGAAGCTTACTTTACCAAATGTTGACAGGTGTATTGTTGGTGGTGAAGAAGCAATGTCAATTTCATTGGAACCAAAACAGGGTTCTCCAGGTCTCGGTAAGGGAAATGCCTCTGTCGTAAAATCTCTGTCACCTGCTACCGTAGGTTTGTCAGCGACCCCGGTCCATGTCAAGGCGTCCCTTCTCTTGCATAAAGCCTTTGTTGAGGTTGATGCATGTTTTTTCAAAAAGTAACAATTGGTTTGGGTGGAAGCATTCCTCCATCCATAGTGCTGCGCCGTTGAAACACTTTTATCTGATATTCCAGTATGGCATGGGCAAGTTTCCCTGCAACAGAATCTT